GTATTCTAATGGAATACGAGAGAACCCGGCACCAAAATGATCCCGGCACCAGAACAATCCTGGCACTTGAGTGAATGAACCTAATCTTACTGTATAAGTCACTGTCACTTGAATGGTAGAAAAGAAATTTTCATTTTCGTGTAATTTGATGAGTAGAAGACACGATTCGGGCGACTGTATCTACTCTGATATTCAGTCAGTGCGCGTAAATGTAAATGGACGTCCATGTTTGGATATACCATTATAAAGACGGGGGCTGGGGGTAATTTGAAATAGGTTGACAGGCAATAGTCTTGAACCAAACTGATTTTTTATATATTAATATATATATTTTATATTATTTTTTAGTAAAATTAAATAATTTGTGTAATAAATTTAGTAACTGATTATCATGTTTTCTTTTATTTTTTTTTAAAGTTTGTGTTCATTTGGAATACATGTTTTTAATACTAATTTAGTGTTTGTTTTACTTTAAGTAAAACTAAAAATAGTCAAACTGCAAAATATATATGTGTATTAATAATTTTATTTTCGTAAAATCGTACCGAAAAAAAACAGGTACGAGTATCCGGTTAAAAGTATGTGTATATCTGCAAATAAAAAAAATTTTGTTAAATCGACATAAATCCAACACAAATGTGTCCGTTCAAATTGGTGCCGTTTCGTTTGGTGCCGGGTTCTCTCGTACATTGTGGTGCCGGGTTGGTTTTGGTGCCGGGATCTCTTGCTTCCTTCTAATGAACTGAGTGGGCCGGGTCACTGATATTATTTTGACTTAAACACGCAACCAAGCTGGTTTACAATTGCGTTGCATATTTTAAAATTTTACACGGTTAGCGATTGTAGTGTTTTGAATCTTCTGTGCAGAAAAACCCAAATATCAAAAGAAATATTTTCGAATAGTGCCATGAATAGCGGTGAAAGTTCGACTCGATATCCACCCCGTCCGGTAAGAAACAAGTCGCGCAGTTTCCTATACAGTTATCAGTGAATTCAACAAAAAATTACACAATGTTAACTTAAAAACTTATGCTTACCCTGTAAGTCACCTTGTAGACTGTAAATCCTTTCTCATGTTTTGTAGGATCGGTTACACAAAAAGAGTGATCCAAAATACCTTTTTTGGACGCCATGTTGGATGTTCCCGTACGAGACTGAGGCTATTGCCGTAAAGGAGTTAGCGATACATTTTAGGGGGATTTTATACTCTATCTGTGTTGTTTTGCATGGATTATTTATCGATGTATGGAAATAAAATTGTAATAGTGCTAATTTAAAATTAACTTTTCTGTGATAGTTTCTAGATTAGTGCATTATGGAGGCAACCGATATTGCCGCTAATATTATCTTACTCTTTGGCGGCTATGTCAGAGATTCCTGTTCTGTAATAGTGAAAATAGTTGCTTCACATGGCAATTCACGTTTCGGCGACCACACCAAATGTATCAAATTTTGTTGACGTATAATACCTCTTAACAATGGGACTGTTAACAATATTGAAGAAAATGAAGCAGAAAGAGAAAGAAGTTCGTCTTTTGATGCTGTATCCTTAGTTTTTTACTTTGATACTGTAGCACTAGTTACAGATCAATGTGATGGCGTATGTATAGTATAGTATGCCCTAAGTCTAACTGTACTACCGATATATATCAGACTTTGTATGTATTTTAATAATTTTGTATTTCATGCTAAGGTGATTTTTTCCCCACAGCCTGGTATGATTACATGGAGCCATAAATATTGATGATGTTAGGGACATAGTAAAGATATGTCAGTAATCAAATATTGGTCATAAAACAGCAGCAGAACTGCCTAAATATACTGAGTTGGGGTGGGTAATTGAATACACAATGCTAAATAGGGGAAAGGGAATGTTTTCCTTGAAACATGGGTTCATTACATGTTTAAATTTGATACAAAACAGTATAATAATAATAATGTTTTCTTTTTCTTGTTTTTTTAATTGCGGCTCAACTGAAACTAAAATAAAATTGGGAAAGTAGCACAATTGTTGCACTTGCTAATGAAAGCTTATAACTGCAATACTATGTGTACAATCCGTACCAATTGCCCCTAAAATCCTAGGGAAAAGGCCCTACTTTTTATTTATTTTTTGAATATGCTTCATGAGCCTCAACCGTTTTTTCTCCACTTGATTGTGTGTGATCAAATACTTGATCACCATCAAGTCCTAATCAAACATACAAACTGTGGTACCCAGTATCACATTGGTATACCATAGCCCGATTCATAGCCCAATCAGCTGAGATGAAAAAATGTATAGGTGTGGAAGAACTAGTCACTGAACATGGAAAGACCACAATAGAGATTTAGTTCACTGCTATTCAGACAGTACCTGGATTGGGCAGTAGAATTACATCAGTTTCTGTTGAAATCCTTAATTCCTACATGTAATAACTTACAGAGGTTTAGATAATGCTGGAAAAACAACAATATTGAAGAAATTCAATGGTGAAGACATAGACACAATATCACCAACTCTTGGTTTTAATATAAAAACTCTTGAACATAGAGGGTAAGAGTTATCACAATGGTATATCGTAAATAATACTGAAAATACTGCGAGGTAAATATTATGTTAAATCAAAGTAAACATGTACTTGACTCGAACAGACACTCGTTTGCAGCACCAAATCACTTAGCAAAACATCACATGAAATTTGATGCCATATGTCAAGCATATTATTTACCTTGCTGTAAGTTCAGAGTTATTATGCTTTTCTTTCTGTGTTAACAGCTACTATTACTTTACTATTGAATGTGCTTGTTTCTTATTTGCTTTGTTTTTCACCAGGTTATAACTGAAATTTTGGTTTTCTATTTTATTTATTTACATCATGTTAATGTGAAATAAAGTATAGTCATTTTTTGTTGTGCCCAGTTCTTCAAACAAAAGCTGAAAGTATTAAAAGCTGACATTTTTGCTTGTGTCCTATCTTTCTAAAATTGTTTAAAACTTTTAGGTTTAAATTAAATGTTTGGGATGTTGGAGGTCAGAAGTCATTGAGGTCATACTGGAGGAACTATTTTGAAAGCACTGATGGTTTGATATGGGTTGTAGATAGTGCTGATAAAAGAAGACTTCAAGACTGTAAACAAGAGTTACATTCTTTGTTATTAGAAGAGGTAGGAAATATTAAAGTCATTTAGTCAATCTATCACATTGTATTAGATTAAATTATACCAAAACAGAATTTCTTCATTTCCTATCTTTCCACACTATATATCTTTTCACCACTACCTTGACTGGGTATATTACCAGTAATTAATAATTGTAGAGGCATTTGGTGCCACTACACTAGTTTGTGTCACATAGATAGTGAATTTTTACTTTGATTATTACAGCAAGTCTCAGAAGTATTGGAAGATTCGAAAGCCAACCGTTCAGTCAAAACCAAAGCAGTTAGCCAATTCGCTAGCGAATTTGCAAATTGGCTGCCCCAATACTTCTGAGACTTGCTGTAACATAGGAAATTTATAAGGGTATGTAAAGGTGTGATACACTGTGATAATCACACACGAATGGAAGAAATCAAGCAACTTGCAATATGATCCCAAAATTGCAAGAGAAACCAACATTTCTAGAATCCTAAGCAAATTAGTGAGTCTATGAAAAAACTTGTTAGTTTTCATCTCAGATAATTTTTTTGACATGGTTATAAAAGTTGCATACCTTTATCTTTTAAATATTTGCTATTAAACATACATACGTATACGTGTATAGTATTAACCTAGATAGCTGCTCAAATTTAAATCACCGATGGCACAAACTGTCACATTGCCACATCATTATATTTTTCAGAGATTAGCTGGTGCTACATTACTGGTTTTTGCTAACAAGCAAGATTTACCTGGATCTTTACCATCAGAGGAAATAAGACAGGTAAAGGATGTAGTGGCAATAGCGCCCTCTATCAATATATGACAAAACCTTTGTTTTTAGATTACTTACAGTGGAAATAAAATTGATATGGGAATAGTAGGTTTATCTATGGGTGGTTGGTAACAGTGATTTTATTTTAACTTGACACATTTTTGCTGTGGTAAGTTTGTGTTTGTTCTGCTATTTCTCATCAGCGTATTCTTATTTGCTCCTCAATAATGCAACACTGCATGCAAGAGAAGTACAGTAGAAATGATGTATTCTGACTACAGTTAGCAACCGTCTATAAACACATCCTGATAAATCAATAACTGTTTATTTTAGCCCACTACAGTCAATGCTATGTTCATATTGATCAGACGATTACTGTAAACCAGTTTTATTCTATTTTTTCATGAATTATGGAAAATTGCAAAATGTTGTAGCTGTGAAAATGTCTGGGAGTACTAGTAGAGTTCCGTTGAATTTAGTCGCATGATGCTTGCCTCAAATCAAGTCAGTCTAGTAACAAGACTTTTTATTAGGACATTTTTATATGCCATAATAGGATTGTTTGTTTCTACTCTTGATGGTATTTGCAGTATGGCTTGCTACTGCTTGTTCAGATTATTAACATGTCTGTTTATATACTATTTTCAGGCACTAGAATTGGATGAAATCAAGTCACATCATTGGATGATATGTGGTTGTAGTGCTGTAACTGGTGACAATCTCTTACTAGGAATTGACTGGATCATAGATGACATTGCATCAAGAATATTTACTATGGATTAGACTGACTGTAAGACTGACATCCATGGTTGTATGTGGCGATGTGCAGAACTGAAGGCAGTACTGTCATATAATGGTGCTTCTTGCTGTGTAGCTTTGTATGCAGACCTATATGAATTGTGCATTGCTCAGAAACTATGTCTTGTGTCTTTTACTGCAGTCCATGTATGATTATCATTTTAAGACCAACTATCTCAGTGTGAGACTGCTGATTCCTGTTGTACTATACAAGCCCAGTGCCTCTGATGGGGACACGATAGAGGTTCTTTTCTATCAATATATGGCTTGTGGAGGACTAAATACAAATCAGAGTTCATTTTTATTTTGTTTATTTTATTATTTATAACATTCTGTGCAACAATGAATTGTATATTGTTTGTAACCGCATATGTAAATATTAGTAAAGAGAAATGGCATGTTTAAATCGAATGAGTTTATTGATATTAAATTTGATCATTTATAATTTGCTCTAGCGGTCCTGCTTTACTTAAAAAATGCTGATATATATTTATTATGTTTGTTTATGTGTTCGCCACTCCCTTCTCAGATAATGATACGTTCCAATCGCACACACCCCAAACCACTTTTTTTTTTTTTTAAATATTTTTTGTGCTAGGCGACAGTTCTGGACATTGAGTATCACTGTTGTCTCTCCTGACATTTTTTTTTGTATGTGCAAATTGCAAGTGCTAGTGCTGACACATAGTGCATTTGCCACAGAAGTCATATTCATGTTTGGGACTACATGACAGGGCTGTGTGGCCATCTCTCTGTAAAATGGCATTTTTTAATGCGCTATCCTGGCGTCGACCAGGCTCTGTCAAACACAAGCACCTGCGGAGCTTAACCAAGGTTCCCCCAAAGTCGCATTCGTTAGTGAATGAATCTCGGCCAGTGGAATTGGCCTTCCCATTGAGTCTGTGGCACACTCACCCAGGGTAGGGATCGACCCTTTGATGTTCAGCCTAAGATAGGATTTGAACTTGGGTCTACCGATCATGAGTCTGATGCGACAACCACTATGCTACCAGTGACCACTCTTTCCAAGCTTTGGTGGCTATCTAGCAAAACTGTAGTTTCATGCATATGTGCCCCACCAGTAAAATAAAAGTTCATAGTGATAAAGTTTACTATCTTTCTCTGTTTTGAATTGGAAAGCTTTATAATATGCAAGTCAGCTAATTCACTACACTGTTTTAGTGCATACTTTGCAGCATCGTTTTAATAACCTGTTACTATTGCCTGGACCTGTACCATTGAAATCCTTGTATAAACCATGATTTCTATATGCATTGCAACTGTTGAATAAATTTAGTATGAAGCCGTGAATTAAAAGTGCAGTTTGGCTAGTATTACATACAATGGCATAGGAGTGAATAGCCATTTTATCCAAATCTTGTGTTGAACTTTTTCTTTAACACAACACTATGGTGTTAAACAATTTACCCGAGCAAAACGCATTCACGTAAATCCTACTGGACCAATTTGTAGCAACTATGTGAAGCTCTTGTACTACCCACCATGCACTGCTACCATAAATGTATTAACATCTTTGGGTATTGCATAATTTGTCAACAAAATTTAGTTTGAAGCTATTCACATGTCAAGTAATATGCATAATATAATAAATGTAACAGTTATAGTATTCACAAGATGTCTACACCAGGAATTTTTGGCCAATAGCCAAACATCACTAGGCATTTCCATAGTTTCTGTTTTGCGATCTAGTTTTCATCTAACCAAATTGCATGTAGGATTTGACAATCCAAAATGGACCGACTATATTCCAAAATCAATATTCAATGTGAAGCATTTTCTATTATGATTAAGATGCACACCAGACTTTAGTTTTCCCCTGTACAACGTAAAAAGAACGATAAAACAAACTGATCGCAAGTGTGGAAATTAAGACATTATGCTAGGACGTCATTTTGAACCAAAGCTTGACCTGTGTCATGTGGCTGACAACAGTTGTCGGGGGATCTCGCAGTGAGCGGAATATTCACAATTAGGTTCCTCCCTTTTGAATTCATAAGATGACTATCTTACTTCTTGTTACCACGGCCTCCAAGCAAACTTGAAAGTTACGTACCTTCTTAGATGTGTTTATCACACACCTGAAGCAGATTTCGAACAGCAGTGCATGATGGGATTTATTGTACAGTAGTGAAGACAATAAGTGAACACTAACTTTCAGATTTGATTTTACAATTTTAATCGTTTCACCACCAGTTCCATTTTTTCATCACAAATTCACAAAATAGTTCTGTTCATATCGGTAGTCTGCACTTTTCTTCAGAAGATATAAATATTTTGAGTAAAAACTGAAAATTAGGGTTCAGAAAATTTGGGTGAGAAAGTTTGTTGGTGAAAAACTTAATATGCAAATATATAATATGGTCAAAATCTATTTTTGGTTCAACCTGGACTGGACTTATTCAGCTTGTTTCATTCATCGCATATTCTGAGAGATGCAAAATGCAAATATCATATAAATATGTCATTTATTATAAATGCTTGTACATGTTGGTAGTAAAATTATTATGCACATGTTCACAATATAACTTCTTGGCAGATAGTTGCAGTGAATACAAGATGGCAAGTTTTATAAATTTGTTAATCTGGAGTCAAATTTCATGAACTGGAGTTGTAACTTACAAAGAAGTGATGTTTGGGGCACCTCCTGCACTTTTAAACGTGATTGTACTCTATGCTGCGTAAACAACAATCCTATAAGACAGGCATGCTCTTTTAACTCCTAAAGATGGATTCTCTTTATGTTTGGAGTAATAGTAATACCGTACTACTCTAATTATAATTTGGACACATTTTCATAATTATACTAGTAATGTAAATAATATATTAAATGTGTATATGCAAATTCAAAATTACACTATAAAATTTGAATTATAAATATTGACAATTGTAATATATACTTACAAACATAATCATTACCACTTAACAGCAAACTTGTGAACTCTGATTCTACAATTAGCTATTTACAAGCCTTGAAAAAATTTTCAGAGATGCACATAATTTGATATTTATTGTGTTGTCATTTATGGAATCCTATTAGTTGTTGAGTGTCACATGGTTACTGTATCTACTTTCTATTGGTAGTTGAATGTTATGTGATTACTGTCCCTACTTTCTATTGGTTGAATGTTACATGTTACTTTCTCTATGCATTATTGGTTGTTTAGTGCAACATGACTACATTCTATTGGTAGTTTTGAGTGTTACTATACTTGTTTTCTATTGGTTGTTGGGTGCCATATGACCTATGCCAATGCAACTCATTGGTTCAAGGGTATCACATGCCTACTGTATGTACACATTGGTACACTTGCATCACATGACTACTGTATGCAAATATTATTGGTACACTTGCATCACATGACTACAGTATGCAAATATTGGTACACTTCCATCACATGACTACAGTATGCAAATACTATTGGTACACTTGCATCACATGACTACAGTATGCAAATATTATTGGTACACTGGCATCACATGCCTACTGTATGTACACATTGGTACACTTGCATCACATGACTACTGTATGCAAATATTATTGGTACACTGGCATCACATGACTACAGTATGCAAATATTATTGGTACACTGGCATCACATGACTACTGTATGCACACATAATTGGTACACTGGCATCACATGACTACAGTATGCAAATATTATTGGTACACTTGCATCACATGACTACAGTATGAAAATATTATTGGTACACTGGCATCACATGACTACTGCATCCATTCATTGCCCTGCCATTGTTTTGTTCTTATTTTCTCATAGTTTCTACCCCTGTATCCACCATTTCTTCTCTGATTTCTTTATCAACCCAAGCTGCATCAACTTGTTTAACTCTCTCTTCTTCTGTAACTCCTGATGCCAATATTTCGACTACACGCCGTTCCTCAAACTCCTCTTTTTTCTTCTTGGCATTCCTTCTTTCCCTGGCCTTTCGGAGAATTTCTTTGTTTCCCTTCACAAGTTCACTTATGTCCAGAAAAAGTGATTGAACAAGCAAAACGTGATACAAAACACAATGGAGAAAAAAGTAGCATTAGTATGTTTTTATTGCAGAAAATAGAAAATCTTGGCATGTGAAAACGTTGCAGCATTATTATACTATTCATGTTACTCATTAGTATTGTTATGAATTAGTGATGACTAGCTTGTTGGTATCTATGGCTACCTAGCATTCCAATCAAATTCATACCCTGCTCTCTAGTTCTTTAATCAGTTTGCTAAAAGGAAAAAAAAAAGGAAAAGAAATGAAATGTATATTGACATAAAAAGTTCAGAGCAGGAGGTGAGGGAACTGAAAGTTGTTGATAACTTTGCACCCTCATCTTTCAATTACAATATTCAGTCAGGAAAGGATACAAGGATTCAGATTTGAAGAACAAGTAGATTGAATATCATTTAGATATAGAGTATTTATTTTTTTAATTCTAGAATAATCTAACTACTCGGGTAATTATTGGCCTAAATTTTGTGCTTTCTGTCCTTTAATAAAAGAAATTCTATTTAATAATTTAATTACTGATATTTGATGCAAAGTCAGTCAGAAATTGATTGGTCATTAACTGACAATGCTACAGGGTCAAAAGTCAACCATGTCATGTGACAGGAAAACTCCCACAACAACTTACCCATAATCCACTTCCCCATCCCCATCCTCATCCAGCATTGTTATGATTGCGTTAATTTCGGAATCTTTCAAAGGAATATTGGAGCTCTGAAAATAGAAATAAAAATAGATATAGGTGAATACTGTAGTGCATATGCTCTATCAATATTTGTGTAAGAGATTGCCTAACCAGCAAATTTCACTAGTGTGCTTTTTTGACTATTGAAATTGTTTTTAATATTCTCAGTGTATGAATTACACCGGATGTTCATATATGCTGGAGGATCTTGTTTCAGGTTTTCTATTATCTGCCTCTAACTATAACAAAATAACTACAGACATGCTACCAACAATCCGTTGTTTGTTTTATCTCAGTTGCTACCTTGCATATAGTACACAAGTTTGTGCAGAGCACAGTTAAAAATGATTGAGCTAAATATTTTTTTATATTTATAATACACTTTTGATAAGACCATAGGTCAAACTAAGGCCTATTGGGTGTTAAATACCAGATTACTTGATGACTGGTGTAACCTCTGTGCTATACGAAAATACGAACATGACATCAAATCGGTAATTAGTGAAAATAGAACCTAATTTATGGCAAATTCATCTTTTTTTGTTTTTTTCATTTGTTCTTGTATCAGGACATCCAAGCCTCACCTGTATTCCTTTAGTGAATTCTTCTCTTGACACACTCATGCTTTTATCTTTATCAAACCTTTGAAATAAATCTAATAATCGTAAATTATTTTTTTGAACATAATCCAGTAGTTTTTGTAAAGGATCAGATTTTTTTTCTATTTCTGCTCCATTGGTGCCATGATGCCGTGCAGTACCACCATGTTCTATCCTCAAATCAGATCGGGTTTTCTGGATTGCCTTCAACATTTCTTCAAATTCCTCTGTGATGATGATATCCTGAATTCACAAAAAATCACATGGTTTGAGTTTATCAAATATTACCTCCAAAAACAATGGAAAGACTAGGGAATGTACCTATAAATAAAAATAAATAAATATCTCAAATTTTTTAGCAGTGAACATTTTCTTTTTGTATATGTTTACTAGTGAGACAGAGTGTCTTTCACAGGGGTATCAGAAAGTCAAAGTGGCTTTTACTGGGTCCCAGGGAGTGATAGTAGCTTTTACTGGGGTGCTAGGGAGTCAGTAACTTCCACTGGGGTCGTGTAGAGTCACAGTGGGTTTCACTAGGGTTATAGGGAGTCTCAATGACGTTCACTTGGGAGTCATAGTGATTTCATGGGATCCTAGGAAATCATAATGACTTTCCCTGGGGAGTCACAGTGACTTTCATCGGGGTTATAGGGAGCCTCAATGACTTTTGCTTGGGAGTCATAGTGATTTTCCATGGGATTCTAGGCAATCATAATGACTTTCCCTGGGGAGTCACAGTTACTTTCAATGGGGTTATAGGGAGTCTCAATGGTGTTCGCTTGAGAGTCATAGTGATTTCCATGGTATCCTAGGAAGTCATAATGACTTTCCCTGGGGAGTCAGAATGACTTTTAATGGGGTTATAGGGAGTCACAATGACTCCTTATGATCACAATGACTTTCACTGGGTGCGAGGGATTCACAATTACCTCTGGAAAATGTGGTTTTTCTGAATGGCCTCAAATTATTAAATTACAACAATTTAATCAATAGAGAAAAAAATATATTCATTCGAACAGAATTATTCATCTATATTGGGGCTCACCTGGCTCTGAAATGAAAGATTCACTGATTATTGAATTCATGTATTTGGGGTAAATTACAAAATATTCGAGACTGTTATTCAATGTTGATTTCAAATGTGTGCACAAGTATACCAAGTTTGCATTTATTATATTTTGTGCATAGTTTTTAGGATTTAATTTTTTAACCATTTTTAACTATTATATGATCATGAACATGATAATGGTGTATGCAACATAGTGGATACTAAGAAGAAAGTTGTCATGGTTTCACAGCATTCATTGAAGGATATATATCAGGCAATTAGGCATTCAAACGGATGTTGAGTTATCACCATGGTTACTTACTGTCAGCCTGATATCAGTCAATGCACTTTGTGGATTCTTTGAAATAGCCATTAAGATAGCCATGGCGCCAGCAGCAGAGATAGGATTCTTACCAATCTGTAGAAATACATTATGATTTCATGTATCAGTTATCCATGGAGAGTGTAAGGCATGTAATATAATAAGATAAATGCACCATGAGACAAGGTACAATAACATATCACAGATGATCTTCAATGAGAACCATTGCAAATTATATTTTCTGTTCATTACACGCATCAGTTAGAAATATGTACATCCCAGCATTTTTGAAGATTTTTGTTGAAAAAAAAGGGAAATAAAAAAAAAAAAAAATGAAAAATCTAATGTTCTTGAAAAGTAAAAATAAAGCACAATTCTGAAATTAAATTAAAAAACAAGCATAAATCAGGTATTTTTTTTATTTCTGGGTTTAATCATTCAAAAAAACAAAGAACATTTCTACTTGGAAGCATGGAGGTAGTCTCTTTTCTACCTCCATGTTGGAAGCCATACACCTGCAATTTTTATTCAATTTATTTTTCGGTATTGTTGAATAACGGGGGCCCTTATGTGCACTCAAAATACTTACCTTGAGAACTTTGAGAGTATCGTTAGATTCAAGCCCCTTTGCGATAGCCAGCGCACCATCATTTGTTATTCTGTTATTCGTCAGATCCAGGTCTATTAATTGTTTGTTAACTTTCAATGCTTGTCCCATTGCTAGAGCGCCCTCATTGGCAAAACCATTCCACGATAAATCCAAGATCCTGATTGAATTATTTTCCTGGAAATAAATTAATCAGAGTTCATGATATCACTAACTCTTTCACAATTCTAACTGTCAATGGAGCTTTACTTCTTCATTTGACATCTTGGTTCAGTTGTAACGTAAGATAAACTGGTTATTTAACAATTTCATTAGCGAAACAAATACAATTCCTGGAACATAGAGGAACATGAGCTCGGGGGAAATAGGAAAGCTGCAAGCTACGAGAAATTGATTTACTACTACACCTCGACAGTCAACGGTGTTTCTATTACCCGCCATTTGACTTACCGCCATAGCTTTACTGATCGCTATTGCTCCTCTATTTCTCAAATGATTCCAACTAAGATCTAAAATGTCCAATGTGTCATTTGAAGCTGTTGACAAACATATTGAAAACGTTTACGGTTATTTATATACTTGCTCAATTTATTTTTAGTATTTAAGGTTGTCAGATGTACAACCGAGCCTTGTAGCAGACGAAATATATAATGTTACGTGAATTAGTACAGACGTATACAGCAAAGTAATAGGAATAGGACGGGATCTTGGCACACAGCCAAAATAGGTAGTCGTCTGCAACGATGCAGTCGCAGTACAAAATGCGAGATGGTTTACTTAGAAAGTCTGCACGGTAAGTATAAATGAACAGTTATTCTGACAACAGTATTACATTAAACACACGATTCTTTATTATTTACGACAATATTTGTTACAGCATTTTCTATTCGCTCAGACGACATTACATTGTAATAATCAACTCGACTTAAAAAACAATTCAAAAGAATGAGTTTGTGGTCGCGATTGTAACATAAATCCTAAAATTATACTTGCCGATTGCTTCTCCTAAAAATTCACCACCGATTTCAGAAAAATCGTTGTTGTTAAGTATGAGCTCTTTCAGTCTGTAATTGCTCTGTAAAGATATGTAAATTAGCTGTTTTCTAGAAATACCGTGATGGACCATCCGAAAACATTGTTGAGTTTTAAAGTTCGATGGACCGACGAAAACATTGATGTTTCAAAAGTTCAAATCTGATCATGCACTTGCCATATCAGTTTTCAGACACTTATTTATAACACAATTTTTTCCTCAAATAAAAAAATATGAAACTTTACAGGTTTGGCAGTCGTCGTGCTGCGTCCTGTTCGATATGGAACTCATGCGACGTATACAACGCGTGTAAAATACATTGTTTATTTACACGAATTTCCAACACGCGCTGCGCGACGACCACCGCGCTTTAATTGTTCTTATTAATTGCGGCATTCACATAAAATGAACCGTTGAATAACCAGGTTATATTCTTTATTTATTTTAAAAAGTTGTGGATGAGAGTTTTGATCAAGTGCTGAACTGAACGAATATATTACCACCTTCGTAGGTTTTTAAAAAATCGACCAATATGAAAGTTATTATCGTAAAATATGGATGATTGAACGAATGTTGAAGTTGTTATTTTTGAATGACGTGAACGACAAATGTAGACTCCAGTGAAGAGTGCCATCATGTGCGAATCACATGAGCACTTACTAGTAGAAACTTGCTTTAAATCAGCTAAGTATGGTTATCCAGTCTATAATTTTGTTGATTGATTGATTTGGCATTTTCAAATGTTGGTAAAATGCAGGGGTGTTTCAGAGAAATGTGACCGTCTGAAAACTGGCATATAGTGAGTTGTGTATTGTAGTTATACCTACTTTAAGGGCTTGTGTAAATGGTTCTGCGTCCTTGTCTTTGAATTCGTTTGCTATTGAAAAGAAATTAATGACAGAAAACAAGTCAACTTCGAGTTCGGTTCTCTTACTCACTATGATCAGAGTGACCCAAATGCGGATATGTTAACTTGGCCCTTGAACTGGGGTAACACGGGGTACAATTCGCATGCCGTTCCCTAACATAAACTGCTGCTCTTTACAATTATATTCGGTAAAAAAAAAATCACAACTTTTGAGTAAATGGATAATAAAATAACAGTTCTTGCACTCTTGAACAATCAACTTAAACGGTGTAAATCACAGAATTTCAGAAGTACCTGATAAGTTAATTCTCTGTAAAGTTGTGTTGTGTTCCAACATGTCACCAACTGCACGTGCTCCTTGAGAACCAAGCTTATTCGACGAAAGATTCTGGAAAAATAATAATGCTGTAACTCAAAATGCGTGATGATGATAATAACAAGCTGTTTATGACGAATTCTCGTTGAGATAAAAAAAAAAAAAGGTCTATTTATTATAAATTATACCATGTTCTTATGCAGATTTTAACACATTTGTATGCAAAATGTAATTTCTACAGTAATTGTTGCATTGTTATGCTAAGTGTAATTGCCACAGATAACTGTACATAACTGGCTTTATGCTGGCTACTAGTCTGACATGTAGGTGTGAGTACACCGAACGCCATCAGACCTCACTGTCTTGGGTTTGGAGCACCGCGGAGGGCGCAACCCACGCGATCTCGTCAGGCGAGTTGGCTACATGATTGTAACATATTTTGTAAACAGCTATTTTAAATCAGACATTGCATCTTAATTTGCCAGAACAATGTAGCTTTAGTCAAGGTGTAACGTCTGGAATTGACGAGGATACGGAGTTCCTCCTCAGCTATTCGCGATCGTGCGATATACAGACTCTAACCAAAGTGTGGCATTAGGTCCGCCAGCGATAACTCACACTAAATAGTAATATCACACGATTGCCCTGTTCACGAGTGCTTGGCACGTACGGGAGACGAACTTATTCCTCGCCCATATTGTACATAATGCATTCCCGCTTTTCTATCAATCGAATGTGGTTGCTAAGTGATAGAGGTATACAAGTGTGGAGTCGGACCGATTTGAAAAATATGTTATTGATTGTGGGTTTTGTGACCACACACTATTTCTATTATACTTTTAAATCAATATTGGAGAACTGACAATCTCAGGATAGTTGTAGCCAAGGTAAAACGAAAAGCATTTCACTTTGATAGCCAATATATGATTTAATAAATGGATATCATTAATGTTATCTGCTACACATGAATCAAAGAACCAATATAGCACCAGTGAAATACAATGGCCATTGGATTGTTTAACCCGTGTTGGAATTCACTGTTAAGTCGTAGCATATATATAAAACACATTTTGATACGTCGAAGGGAAAAAACCGGTAACAAGCAAGCCGCTCTCTGATTGGTCTGACTGTGTTAAAACATCCAGACATCATATATATTTACATTTTTTGGCACAAGAAAGGCGAAACAAACAAATAACGAAAGCAGGCACGCTAAAAGGTTCTTCCTATATTTGTATAATCCAGCGGTAACAAGTGGTTGCCATATGGGAGAGTAACCCCCTCGATTAAAATACTTATAATCATTGATTGCAAAAGACCGAACAATGTTCAAATACAGAAACATTGAGAAATGTTGACGTTGAATTTGAAATACATGGTATTGATTTTAGCGTACAGTATGAACAGAACCGTGTGCTCATAACGTTGAATAAATCAATATAGAATACATTCATACTACCGATGACGTCGCGCAACATTCGCCGTTAGTATGATGATTGCAAATCATGTTGGTGGTCGATTAAATGTTTGGGGTTTTAGAAAAAGCGGTACATTCACCGGGCAGGTGTAGTTATTCCAAATTAACGACATGCAGTTTCCATACCTGAACCCTGGAGATGTAAGTCAAGCGTTTAAATGAGTGTGTATTCTATCATGAGTATATCCCGTTCAAATGTACCTGTAATATTGGAGGTCTGATCATAGGAATCGAACTTTATTTAAGTCAGATTGTAATTAGATAATGAGATATAATGTTCAGAATTTTAGTATCTCTGAATTCCCGTGCCTTCATTTCCAGTATTTGACGTGGATGTCACTGTAAATTTGGCTTCGTAATCATCACGCCAAATTTATATTGACAAACGATCGTCTTTTATTTATTCATTCATCAATCCACCAATCAATTCATTCATCATTTTACTTACCAGTTCACTTATATAACAATTTTCTTTCAGCATGGCCGCAATGCATTTTCCACCAGCGCCCTCTACGTGATTGCCAGTCAGGTCTAACGATATCACCACAGTATTTGACTAATATACAAAACGAAAAAATAAGGATATACATGTATGCATATAATTTCGACACAACAAGCATTCCCCCTTCATCTTAATAAATTTATAAACTCCAATGACAGTTGAATCCAAGTTTATAGGAGTTCTTCCGTCAGCAACTTATGCTGGGATATACATCTCTTTCGTTTTACAATGTACGATGTCGAAGGTATACAGTCATTTACAGATGTTCTGAAGATACGATTAGAAACACGTACACAATGTCCTATAGCTCGTACTAGCTCTACATGCATGTAGGGGGAACATGCATGGTGGGCTCGTGGAAATTATTATTACCAATCACAAAATTCCAGAATAAGTTACACC